CACACCGAAACGTACCGTTGATATGCATGTATGTATATATGTATGTACCTAAATATGTACATTCAAATATATTAGGAAGTGTGCTTGATAATACCGTGACATACCATTTTATACGTAACAATACGCAGCAATATCAATGCTTGCAAATATGCAGTAATTTAAATATGATTCATTTAGGTACATATCGATACATCGAAATGAAGTAATATCTAAATCCAAAAAATTATGCTGCTCAGAAAAAATGCAACAAATGATGTTATTGTTTAGATTCTTAGGTTCTTCTTTTTGCAAGTTAATTAATAAAAAATTAGTTTCTAACAATTTTATAATTTTTATAATATTAATAATGCTATGTACATTTAAAATAGAAATTAACATTTTCAAACCAGTAAAAATATCGCGCTATCAATATCAATTAGTGCCTTCAACTCTGCAATTTTAAGAGTAATTAAGAGTGATTAAGAGGTAATTATTAAAATATCAAGGATATTTAAAAAGATAACAACTTAAATCCATCATCGACATTTTCAAAAGCGCAATAATATATCAATATTATATATATTTTGAAATATTTAAACAAAATTATTGAATATCTTTCATACATCTAACATTCAGCGGTGCTCGAATTTAACAAGATACATTTTGCAGAATCGACAGTTTCAGTACTTAAGAAAAAATAAAATTTCTGTCCTAATTAATTGAACAAAAAAAATGATACACGTGTACCTAATATATGCATATCACATCTGTCGAACAGTGTCATCTTTATTCAAGATTTCAACTATATTTTCCCAATTACTGAATACTATATTCCGAGTGTCAACGTCTAATTAATAAAGAAAGATCAAAGGTGTCGAGACAAAAAAAGAATACGGAAGAACGTATCCCTAGATGCGCAACACATACACGACTATCATCCATCGCATCCCTCGATATCACGCGCGCGCATCATATACATACACACACACGCAACGCACGCACACACACAGCACCGTACGCGTCCCGCACACACACACAGTCTTAGCTTGGCAACAAGCGGGCAGCCGGTTACGGGGCAAGGTCGGCCCTCCTTCCCAACTATTTTATCCCAGGCATATATTTATTACGAAACTCATATATACGTATATGTACATACGTGTGTGTGTGTGTGTGTGTGTGTGTGTGTGTGTGTGTGTGTGTGTGTGTGTGTGTGTGTATGCGTATATGTCACGGTGTACATACACAACGCGCGCGCGTGCGAAACCTGCTCGTGTAGAAAATTACGTTTCCGACACATTCGCAAGAACTCGTACCCCGTTGAAATCATGTACGATAAATTCCGACAAAAATATATACGAAGCAAATTCGTGACGTACTCATAAGCGAAATGTTAATCGAAAAAAAAAAACACTAAAGGAAAAAAGCTATGCGAGCAAATCGCAAGAATTTCACGATACTTTTTCTCTCTCGATGAATTTTTTAATATGTTTTAAAAATCAAAATTCTTCTTAATTGTAAAATAAATATGAAACTGCAATGCAATCCTTTACTCTTCTTTATATATGTATTTTATTTTTTTTTTATTTAAAAAATTCACACATCAAAATTAAGCTTGATTAATCACTTCAATCGAAAATGCATAATCATGGAAAAGGAATACATCGTCAATTTAATTAACCACACTTGCCGATGAATCATTAATACATCGGCAAGTAAACAAAGAAAAATAAATAAATATACGTAACGGGAAGTTTTAGTTTGCAGTTATTACATCCATATCGTAATATTTATCTTGATTTATATAATGTAATTCTATTTCTATGTCTTTTCGGTTTTACTAATAACGAAATTATTAATTGAAATCTTTATTAATTGTAAACTTATTGCGCGCCACTTGTTATTTATGTCTCACACTTGTAGACATCAATAATATCGTCTGATTTCCGTTGAGCATAAGAATAGCACATTGTAATAAAAAAAATTATCAACTTGTTGCACAAAACTTGTTGCACAAAAGAATTAATAAAAAAGTCAATCTAAGGCTATGTCTCATCGCGTATAAAAATAACAAGTTTTAATATTAATAGATCCGCCGGCAAATTAAAAATTGCAGAAGATATGCGTGTATTATTAAAAATAATCCGCATTGCGTTTTGCAAATTATAAAATGTCATTGACACAACGAGAAAATAAATAAAATAATATATATAACATATTATATATTCATAAGAGAAATTAATAATATGCTCAAAATAATATATTCATAAGAGAAATTAATAACATGCTCGATAGATTTATAATATTTATTCTCATCTTTCTAAATCTTTAAATTCTGGAAATATATAGAGCGTTGTATCTATGTCTTTTATGTATTAGCGTAAAAACACGAGAAATGCTGTCCTCTTTATCATCCCCATGACATTCTTTTTGCCTCGTGATTCCCAGGTTGAACATATAAGCCCTTAGAATCACCTGTCAGTGGCCTGTTAAGAGCTCAATAGCAACCCTGAATCTCAATCTGTTCATTGCCATAAGCTTATCTGCTCTACATGGCAAGGGATGTTTCATTAGCAATTTCTATAGCCCTTAGATCAGGTGCTCTCGCCTCAGATAGCTTTTGATAATTTTCTCGCCTACAGTAAAGAGGACACCGATGGAGTAACATAAGAATAGATAAATGTACGCTATATTTTTTTTGCATAAAGCAAGAATGTGTGCACAAGTTTTATAATCCGCGAAAGCGTGATTTGAGTGAAAGCATCGGGATACCGTAGTTTCTCTGCCCTATTCTTCCTCTTTTAAATCTATTTCTACTAGCACATGTGTGATTATCCACATACATAAATATTAAAAAATTTAATATGATAATTACTTTTATATTTTATAAATACTTCTACTTATTAAAAATTTTATTTATTTAAACGAGATTGAAGAATGAATATTTAAATGAGATGAATTTCTTGAATATAAAAGCGTTGAATTATATAGAAGGATCATCCGATTTATAATAATAACCAAAATTAATAATAATTAAAATAAAATATTATCATTATAAGATATATTTTGATGTATAAATTGAATGTATTTAAAAATTTATTTAACCTAAATATCTTTAACCTAAATAAATATATTGAATTTAAAAATAATAACGTTAAAGAAATTTATTTTAAAATATAGAGAAATTTTTACCTTATGTATGTGTATATCGGTATAAAAAATTTTTTATCAGATTTTTGAAATAAATAAGAATATAGTAAGAAGAAATAAAGCAATTTTCGAGGTATACGTTCTCTAAAATGCAATTCATAAAATAAATTAGTTAATTTATTAAAATAATTAAAAATATTTTAATAAATTTTATAGAATATTTATTTATTTATTTTTGTAGAATAAATACTTTAAGATAATAAAACAATAATATTTTTTTAAAACAAAATCTGCATTTATTAGAATATTATATTATACAACATATACGTCAAATGTTGCTTCATTGGAAAAAAGTAATAAAAAAGAGACTAACATCTGATTGCACGAATGTTATTTTGGCATTAAGCGAGACTTAAATATGTGACTGTCTTTATTTATTTAGAGGGAAAGATAAAGATAGATATGTATTTAAATCTCGCTTAAATTCAAAATAATGTTGGTGCAATCAAGTCTTGGCTTTAACGATTTACAAACCGCGCACACACACATCTTTCACGTTTTTCTATAAACAATTTGAAATATAATTTGTGCATGTCATGAATAACAAGTGTTTCTATATCTGTTCAACTATGGTTTAAAAAGAAAAGATAGAGATAAAAACAAATAAACATAATTTTGTCAAACAAAATTTTCTTGATGACATCATTAACAAAATATTAAAATGAAGATAATTAATATTTTAAGTAAATTAAATGGTAACATTATCAATTTTTCCCCTATACATTTCTATTTTCCCAATCTCAATTTTACGAATTTAATTAAAATCAATCAGAAGAGAATCTACACACACACACACACACACACACACACACACACACACACACACACACACACATCTAAAAAGAATATATACAAAAAAATTTTTATTAAATCTATTAAACTAGTCTATCTCCCTTGAGGTGTTTTAACTTAATATTTTTGTTTAATTTAATATTTAAATACACGGAGAGTATTTTGACGAATGAAAAAATTCTGAAATACTCGTATAGATCATAGAATTATGCGTATCTGTAGCTGCAAACATACATATGTATCCATGTATCTACGTGCACATCGAGATAAATTTAATATTTTTAGAGACATTTATCGCTCGGGCAATCAGCGATTCGCCCTTTACTATAGTACTCGGTCGCGTCACCCAGCCTGCCTCACGTGAACAACCTAACCTTTTCTATTCGTCGCACGAGCCGTACAGAAAGAGAGAGAGAAAGAAAAAGAGAGAGAAAAAGAGAGAGGCGAGAAAGTGGAGAGGCGAGGGGAAAAAAGACCGGATTATATTTTCGCGGCGCTGCTTTTGTCGCGCGTCACCAAGAGGCATTCGTATCGAATATTTTTTTCTTTTTTTTTTTTTTCACGATACTCGACTCGCGCGCCCAAAATTCTCGTCCGAGCTTATCCCGCGAACGTTTCCATCATTCGCGAACGAGAAAAAAATGCTCGCAATTCTCTTTCGGTTAACATCGATTAGCTTTGTCGCGCGCTCCCTAGTCATGCCACGTAGTGCATAAACATATAACTCGCGCACACATACACCCTAGATACCATCTCGCTGGATCCGTTAGGTACTCGAATACTAATGGAATGTATGTGTTAATCGAAAAGAATGGTGAAGAAAAAAGTTCTCGGGAGCGGAAAATCGAAGAACTACCAGCAAATTTAATTTTCGCCGCTGTAAATAAATGGAAGAATGACACTTGACGAAGGCCTGCGACGTTTCTTCATCGTCGCGAATTAATACGCGAGAATCTAAACTCTCTCTCTACTTATCGAATTATATCGATTTCAAGAATCGTAAGATAAAACGAAGAGACTTGAGACAACTGATGCAATTTCGTCAGTTCGAGTTTAGATTTCATCGGGAGAATGACTTTTTATATTCGTCGCTATGTGATAAGAGAAACGGAGCAAATGGCGTAGGATCCATTTTCGCCTACACGTAAGACGAAAAATTTATATTTATCGCTCTCATGCTCGCCGGGTCAAACGTAAACATGGGGTCGCATTTTCCCTCCCTTATTCCGCGCAAATCGAAATACGCGATTGTCTATTGTAAAAGGGACAGAAAAGTAATATCCCTGATAAAGTATACTATCAAAAAATATACGACACGTCACGGATATATATTTTCCATCCATGTATCTCTCGGTGTCTATTATTCTTATTCTCAGCCTCCTCGTCGCTATTAAAAGTTGTTATTTATTCGACGCTACGAGTTAGAGAACGTAAATCTCGAACAACATGGAATGCACCAAGAATGCAAGAGTGCACGCCTCTGGGACTTTCTCCTCGTTTGCGCACCCACAATGACTATACATCTGCAATGGAGAACGCCGTTCGTGTTGGCGCACAAGTGCAGTTTTACCTTGATTTGACAAACGTTAAATATTATTAAAATACTCATTCGTGATATCTACCACTATCTCTTCTCTCTCTCTCTCTCTCTCTCTCTCTCTGTTTCTATCTAATATATACATTTTTACGCGGTTAAAATCTGACAAAAAAACAAGCAAGTTACGCTCGATAATAGTCTTTCCGCGACAACAGGTAGTGCAGATTCTCAAGAGATATCTTTATTATTTATTATATTATTTATCTTTTATTATTTATCTTTTATTCCAATTATTTTCGAAATCGCTCTCCATCTCTCTTTCTTTCTCGTATTAATTAAATCAATTTAAAATGGAGAAATACATATTTTTCAAGCGAACCTGGCATCACCTCTCTGACAGAAATATTATTAATTGAACGTTTTGAGAGGGGAAACCAAGCAGAGATATAAAACCGTTACCGTGCAATATGGTAGGTTGCGCATCGTAACAGGAAATGCGACACGACAAAGCACACCAAGTCGTCTTACATAAGCTCGACTTCCTTTAAGGTCGTACATATCCGTTTCGCGCGACATAACGACTCTGCGATCGACGCTCGATACATATATGTATACATATGTATATATATGTATATACATAATACACACACAACACACACACACACACATACACATACATTTGTTAAACGCCGCGTATATAAACGATCACGACGCGTTCGGTTTTGGATGTGCGCTGGACGGACGACGGATAATTTGACGTAAATATCGGCCTGGACTCACCTGCGAGACGATCCGTTGTCGGCTTTCGTGTTCAACGACGGTCTCACTTTTCCCACGGAAAAATCACACGTTCTTCACACACGCAAGACCACATATCTCGTATAATCACAGCGTTCTTATTGAAAATGCGCCTCGGATTGAAGGACAGAGGCGGCTAAATCAGGCTAAATAGGGCATCCGGTGACAACAGCGGCCGCTTCCCGGATGGCTCCAAAGATGGCGCGCATCGACGTGACAGATGCCTTCAATGTATACACATACACTATATTTAACCACCGTCGACGTACAATATATCGCGCGCCTATATTTGTATGTTCTTTACCTTGCTAACGACACTATCCTTAACGTTGCATAGTCCGAACGACAGTGCAACGTCAATGTGATACTCCAACTCGGCGATTAGCGATAAGATATCGATAAAAAATTCGGTTCCGATACATCGTCGTAACGTATATATTCGGATCGATATAACTCCGCTCCTTTTCCTCCCGGCCAATCAGATCGCTTCTTTGAAAGTAGCTTCTCAGTGACTTTACGAACGCAAAGTTTGAATATGAAAAACCTGGAAAAAAGAAATAGAAACGAGAAAGGAATTATAAATATATAAAAAATATTGTATAATTTATAAGTCATAATTAAATATTACGATTACAATTTTAAATATAAAGATCTTGTTTGTGCTAATTATTTTATAAGAATTACGTATATATATTTATATAATTCCAAACGAAGAGAACCAAATCACGTAATTTCTAAATTTAAAAAAAGTTAGTAGATAAAGATCTATTATACGATGTAAGTTAATATATATTCACTTTAATATATACAAAAATATTGTGATTTATACTTTTTTTACAATATTTTTTACATAATTGATATAATAAAGACAAGCAAAAATGAGTGACGCATGGTTTTAATAGAATGGACAGAAACAAAAAGCGCCAAATTTAACTGTCAAAAATAATTATTATATAATTAATTAATAATTTAAATAATTAATTATTTAATTATTATAACATAAATAATTGATTAAATGAAAAAATATATGAATTTTTAATTAATATTTAAAATTTATTTATAAACATCTTGTTTGGAGATAATTGCAAAACTATTTGATTTGTTTTTAAATATAACATAGATTGTATATATTTTATTATATATATATATATATATATTTAATGAAATCTTTTGTATATGAATACACATTCAATGAACAAACATGTTCGTATACAAAAATAAATTCCGAGGAAATTTTCAAAAAAGTAATACTTCATATAATTTATCAGGTATGTTTATACACAAAATTATTCAAAAATTGCTGTTTCACTAGCATTTTCCTTCTCTCTGTCATTATAGATTATTAAAAAATTTTTTAAAAGTCAATATATCACAATTATTAATTCATTTTCATATATCAAATTCATATATATTCGATACTTTACCAACCTTTTTCCATTAATGGCACGACACAAGCTTTGACACATCAATTTAATTGGCTATCCGATAGAGATTCTCAAAATCTTGATGAAGTAAGCAACAGAAGTTCCCCATTCGATATCTAATCGGTATATCTTAAAAATTTTTATTATTATTTATATTTTTTAATTCATGTATATTTATAATCCTATGTATATTTATGTTTCACATATATTTTACACTTACAAAAATTAAATTGTAGCCCAGTTTGAGTCACGAATGTACGAATATCTAGATGTGATTCGCGATAGTCTCTTGGAAATAACGCGTAGATGAGTTATGTTCCAAAATTTGCCCCTTGGAATCTACTAATGATTAACCAATCAGAACAGAGGAAACAAAAAATTCTTTGTCCTGATTGGTCAATTATATTATTATGGGCATACATATATTTTAGAGTTATTTTTCTCTGTCATGTTAGATTTTCTATGGCGGCCAATGGCAGATTATCTTCCAAAGGCATTGTGCTACATGTTCTTATCATAACCGTCATAACCTATAAATATTCTGATATTTTAAAAATATACAAGACATAGTTTAATATAATTTTAAAAAATGTATAAGCGCGCAGCGACTGGTAGTGCAGTAGTATTGGCAAGAAATCTCGGATTTGTCAAGGTAAAGAGATTTTTTCATAGCTAGTTGTCATAGATGCAAAATTTGAAATTCTCGAAAATTTACAAAAAGTGCATTTTGTAGGACTCAACGTTTGTAAATGTAAGAAATAAAAAGTTTAGTTCGGTGACACAAAATTCCCGATATAAACCATTAACTCCAATAAACACTATCATAATGTTTGTTCCTCAACAACAGGTACGTAATTGTTTAATACAATATGTTTGTATAATTATCACGAATTATTTATATTTGCTTTAATGTAATTTTGAACTATTAGAATTTTTAAAAAATCATTTTTAGCCAAATTTATTTAATTTGTAAATATTTGTAATAAAACTATACGTGAAATTATAACAAATAGTATTTAAAACTAATTTGACTATACTCCAGTTAATTCAGTTGACAAATAATTCATTAAGTAATACTTGTATTTTATTAATATTATTTTATTAGTAATAAAATTATTAATTTGTTATATATGTATATAATAATCTAGATTAAATTGGATATGCCAATTAAATTGATTGTCAATCAAATTAATTAAAGTTTGAGTGAAATAACTTTTAATTGAAAATGGAATATTTTATTTAGGCATGGATTGTAGAAAGAATGGGAAAATTCCATAAAATTTTAGAACCAGGTTTAAATATTTTATTTCCCGTTGTCGATAAAGTTAAATATGTACAAATTTTGAAGGAAATGGCGATAGATGTACCACAACAAAGTGCAGTTACATCAGGTGAGAATATAATTTATCAATTATCAAATATATTGATTCTAAATATGATACTTGTATTAATTGTGTAATGACTTGTAATTTTACTTTTTTTTATTTTTTAGATAATGTGACTCTAAGTATTGATGCTGTATTATACTTAAAAGTAACTGATCCTTATTTAACATCTTATGGTGTTGAAGATGCTGAATTTGCTATAATTCAAGTAGCGCAAACCACCATGAGATCTGAATTAGGAAAAATACCTTTAGATAAAGTATTTAGGGAGAGAGAAGAATTAAATGTTTCTATTGTTGAAAGTATTAACAAGGCCAGTAATGCTTGGGGAATAACATGTTTACGATATGAGATACGTAAGTTAAAAAAATTTATATAATTACATCAAAATAATTTCACTTAATTAGAAAATATTAGAATAAATTTTTAAAATATTTTAAAAATTTTTAATTAACATTTCTAATTATATGTCAGGCGATATAAGATTACCACCACGGGTGCAGGAAGCAATGCAAATGCAAGTAGAAGCCGAACGGAAGAAACGTGCTGCTATATTAGAATCTGAAGGTGTTAGAGATGCTGAAGTAAATGTAGCAGAGGGCAAACGACTTGCACGAATTTTAGCTTCAGGTACTGTATTATTTAAGTTCTCAGTATGATTTTTAATTAATATGAGCGAATCTTATATTGTTTTTTTTGTAATCTATAATCTGAAAAATATATATTTATATTTCTGCACAAATATATATATATATATATATATATATATATATATATATATAATTTTTAAAACAGGGATTTGATTATCATTATAGAAGCAGCAAGGCAAGAACAGATAAATAGAGCTACTGGAGAAGCTGCTGCAGTAGTAGCGGTAGCAGAGGCACGAGCAAAGGGATTACAAGTAGTTGCAAATGCTCTTGGTGCGACGGACGCAAAAAATGCGGCAGCTCTAAGCATAGCAGAACAATATGTCAATGCATTCAACAAATTAGCAAAAGTTAATAACACATTGATATTACCGAGCAACGTAGGAGATGTTTCGACATTTGTAGCACAGGTTTGCCACTTGATAAACCATTATTTTGCCATCACTTATTATAGATTTAATAATAGCATAATTAAAATCTTGTATCATATATTGTAGGCAATGGCAATTTATAAACGAGTAATGCCCGAACATAATACTAACAATGAGCAAATAAAACAAGTAACGGATAACCATAAATCACATGCAGTTCAGATGGAAGATTCAGATGAAACTTTTGAGTATTTCAGTGATAAAGAAGAAGCTGAGAAGCATAGAAAAACAGGAAAATAAAATCTGCAATAAAAATGTATTTTCATTATTTCTGTTTTTCATATTATTTAAGATTCGCCATGTAAATATTATAATATATAATCATACATTATTCCTAACATGAACATTTCATCAATCAATATTTTTTTTTAAGGGCTACAAATTAATAAATTCTTATACGCATAGTTAATAGTGTATTAAAATTTATTTTTAGTAAAAATTGCACAAAAACCACATCATTGTATTATACCTTGACAAATATCAAGTAACTTTTATATATATATATATATATATATATATATATATATATATGTTTGATATTAAATTTATATTATAAATTGGAAGTTTTTATGTGAGATGCATTATATAATATATAAAAAAAAAAGAGTATATATACACAAATATATTCATTTGCGTTTCTTAGAATGTACTACTGGATTTTGTATAGATACACCATATGTTTCTTGAGAAATACGATTCATGTAATAGAGTGCAATCATAGAAAATATTAAACATGTTGTAGTAGATACACGATGAATCAGAGCAGAAGCAATCAGACTTAAAGTCAGTGAGAAAACCACTGCAACAAAATAATGAGTTATTCATATTATACATATAACATCTATATTAAAAAAGAGAAACTTATCTTTATATATACATGTATATTAATATAAATTAATTTTATATTGAAGAAATAATGTTGCTTTCATACATACCTTCTGGAAGTAATTTCTGTTGAAAGGACTTTCCAAATAAAGTGCTTTCAAGATTTCCAACAGCAGTTAATGTACACATGAACAATAATGATCCGACCCATCCTCCTAATACAGTTCCCAACTGTGATGAACCAAGCCAAACTTTGTACATTTGCATTCCAGAAAACAATAGTACTGTCAATATCGAAGATAATACAAATGACACTCCACTGCTAACAGCTGTAACATAATAGTATTAGTATTAATAATAAAATATGGAAAAATTAAGAAAAATTGTTGAATTGTAATATAGTTAAAATGTCCCTTAATAAATAATAATGTTATATTTTTCTCCTGATTTAAAATATGTTTTATCTCTAAATGATTTCATGTGACATTCAAGTAATTTTGCAAATTTAATGCCAGTACGTACCCATATTTGCTAAATAATTAGGAAATAAACACCTTTTTCTTTTCTTTCTACAGCGGAAATTACGCAGATTATATATAACTCCTTATTTAAATTGAAATTAATTATAATTTATGTAAATTTAGTCTAGAAAAAAATGTAAAAAAATAAATCTGGAAGAATTTAAAATTATAGAACACTATAAAAACAACTGATTCTGTGACTGTGATATCTGTGGTTAGTGGTTATGCCACTGACCACTGAATCCAACGGAAACTTCTGAAATGCCCTCTACAGCATTATTGGAAATTGGAATTACACTTCGCGCATGCGAAAATCATTTGAAATTCTATAATAATATCGATGAACAATTTTGAATTTCGTGCTCTCGTATCATGAGTCACGGTGACATTATAACTGTGTAAAGTAAGCATTCGAGGATAAGCTCTTATGTGAAATAGAGGTTGTCAAGGACGATAGAGAAATATACCTACTTACGACTACACAATTACAAAATCGCTGATAAATTAGCGTCACCGGCAATACATTTGAGGCAATTTTCCAGAAATATTGACGAATTAAACTAACAATAAGATTAAAATGCATAGACAAGGTATGTAAAGTCATTATATTATATGCGTTGCAGAGATCAGTTTATTTATAGATCATTCGCTTAAATTGCATCATCCAATATATTTGGTCAGTTTCTGAATAATTCATGTATTATACTATTGTACTCATGTATTATACTATTTGTTAGAATTAAAAAAGAACGTTAGTATATAAATTATGTGAAGTAAATAACGCGAATTTACTTAAAAGTTCCATATTTCAAAGTTACAATGACAATTTTTCAAGGTGATAACAACAAGTTAAAATCAATATAGAAGTTTTGATCTTATTTTTTTAAAGTGTAATGTATTCACGATATCCTTATCCTGTATACATACCTGAAATAAAATTTAAGAGATTCTTATTTGAAAAGAAAAATATATTTAAGCTTTTTGTGATTAATAGTTGAATTAAAGAAATATGTCACTGACATTAGTATAAATTTAAAAACTTGTTTAGTATAGGCTATTCAAGATGTGTACACAAAGAGTATATATAAAGGTGTATACAAATATATATTGCCAGGTTTACCTCTACAAGAGGAACAATCACCAGATTCATCTTTACAAGAGCAACAATTTTCACAACATCAACAAAGAAGATCAGAAAATCTACCTCAGCCATGGCAAGATGAAGCACGAAGTCTACAGGAACAATTTCCACAACAACAACAGACAAGATCACAAAATCAAATATCACAACAGCAAGAACAATTGAGATCTTTTCAACAGCATCAAGGAAAGAAGGATCAACAACAAAGAAGTTGGGATCAATCAGCAAGCAAGTACAAGTACAACCAATGGTCACATGTGAACCGACAACGCCGCCAGAACAAATCACAGCAAAGTGCAACACAGAGTCATCCACAACATCAAATATCACAAAGAAGATCAGAAAATCTACCTCAGCCATGGCAAGATAAAGCACGAAGCCTCAGTCTACATAAACAATCTTCACAACAACAATTGAAATCTTTTCAACAACATCAAGTAAAGAAGGACCAACAACAAAGAAGTTGGAATCAATCAGTACAAGCAAGCAACCAACAGCCATATATGAAACAACAACACCGCCAGGACAAATCACAGCAACAACAATTTAGTTCTTCTCAACCGCAAAGAAGGAAGGACCAACAACAAAGAATATGGAATCAACAACAACAACATATTAGAGACAATAATATGCAACAACAGCAGCAAATAACACCAGATACTTTAGCCGCTGTAAAATAACTAAACATTAATTACTTATATAGTTATAAAAAATATTTATTATAAATGGAGTTTGAAATCTAATACATTATTTCTGTTAATTCATTAAACATTTTGTAAATTATCATTTTTTTTCAGCTATCTCAACTTACATTAAAGGGAACTCGAGAATTAGATATGGCATCTTCCACAATAAAAGACTGTCAAGCTCGTATACCGAAGAGGCAAAAGAAACAATCATCCTCTGAAACAGCCTTTATAACAGTTAACACAAATATGTTTAAAATTATTTTTAAGAATAATTTTCTAAAAAAAGCTATTCATTATGATGTAGATATTACCTTACGAAAGAATGATCAAACAATATTAAACAGGTTTCCTAAAAAATTATGTAGAAACATTTTTGAAAAATGTAGACTTCAACATTTTGAAATGAGATATCCAGCATTTGATGGAAGGAAAAATGCATACAGTGCATATGATCTACCTTTTAAATCCAATCCCAATATTGTAAGTAGTAGGCAATACATGTATATATTTTTTCAATAGTCATGAAATTTATCTATAAAAATTTCTCATTAAAAAAAAATTTCTCATTATTTAATCAATATTTAATTATAGAATAAGTGCAAAGTATGAAACAAATTTTGCATTATTTCTCTTAAGTATAGTATTTTTTTTATTATTTTGCATAGTTTGAAACTATTGTTGAGATTTCGACATGTAATGAACGATGCCCTGCCGAGTGTAATAGACATTTAAGAAAATTTAAAGTTATCTTAAAAAAAGTAGCTGAAATCGATCTTAGTTGGACAAGAAATTTACCATCCAGTCTTGATGAAGTTGATGGATATCAAACTGGTATACAAGTTCTAGATATCATCATGCGTCATAAACCAGAGTCAGAACATATAAATGTAAGCAGTTAATAGTAATTTAATAATTATAAATATAATTCAAATATTAATTTTTATATGAATATAATAAGTAAACTCATGATTCATGACAGATTAATTATACATTTACGTTTTAAGGAATGGTGTAGGTACATATAATATTGAATATACTTTTTCTCATTCAAAAATTTATATTTTATATTGCATTATATATATATATATATATATATATATATATATAATGCAATATAAAATATAAATTTTTGAATGAGAAAAAAGTACATTCAATATTATATATACAATATATATGTATGTGTATGTATGTATATATACGTGTGTGTGTGTGTGTGTGTGTAAAAACACATTAAAAATATATATAATATAAAATACATTATAGTGATAGAATATAAAATGTTATGTATTATTATTATAGGTTGGAAGATCATTTTTCTGGCCAGATAAGCTAGATGATAAGTTATATAATAAGGAGGAGTTTCCTCAAACTGATGGATTAAAGGTGGAGCGCGGCGGATTTTTATCCGTTATACTTGGGCAGCAAATATATTTAAATGTAGACGGTAAAATATCGTTAATTGGCGAACTTAAATAATGTTAAAATTTTACAAGAATTTTAAGCTGCAAATTAGATATATTAAATATCTTTGTCAATTTGTGTTATATGTGTATATTTTTTATATTTCTCTTTTAGTTGTTCATAAAGCATTTATCCTACCTCAAAAAGTTGACACACTATTCTATTCACTACGCTATGATAATTATGCAATTAATAAATTATTGAAGGACTTAAAAGTGACTTATAAAATACCTAGATCTAATAAGGAACTGTCATATCGCTTAGATGGAATAGGTCAAAAACTTAACGAACAAACATTTATATATAAACAGCCAAAGGAACAATATGGAACGAAATTGACAGTAGCTAATTATTTTTTGAAACATTATAAGCACCCTTTAAAAAACCCCAATTGGCCATGTCTAGTTGTGAAAGGACAACAAACTTATTTGCCTCCCGAAGTGCGTAAGCTGCTTTTATATTTACTAGAAATGTAAAACTAATAAAATTAAATATAATATTCGCTCGAATTTTTATACAGTTATGTACTATTGTGAGTGGTCAATCTGTTAAAAAGTTGAACGACGAACAAACTAGTAAAATGATTAAGGAAACTGCACTTGACCGTAAAGAGGAGATAGAAAAGACAGTGGTAAAGATTTCATATTATTATATTAAAAATGTTGTATCATAATTTATTTTATGTATATTTGTAGTTTGACAAACTTGTGAATAATAATAATGAGATTATGGAACATGAATTTCAATTGTCTGTCGAAAAAAAAATGGAAACAGTGAAAGCTAGGATCTTAAACGCTCCAAACATAATATATGCCAATAGAAAAGTAAATGTAAGCAAAGGAACATGGCAAATGCAAGGATTTAAACAACCGATAAATTTAGAAAAAAATCAATGGGCTATTCTCTGTATAAGTGATAAGAATGAGCATAACATATTTAATAAAATGACACAATTTATGGAAAAATTAATATTTCATGGTAAAATACACGAAAATTAATAAAAATTAATACAGTATATGAAAAATCAAGTTAAAATGTCTTAAAGTTTGTATTAATGAAAAAAAACATTAATTCGAAAAAATTGATATTAATTTGTACAACTGTAAATTTAAATATTCGAAAAATCGGTTATATGTATATTACATTATATAAATTATTTTTACATTGTTATATTAAAATCAGATTTTTTTAGCGGAAAATGTTGGTATCCGTGTAGGTAATACTAATACTGATACTGATACTGGAAATACTAATACTAATACTGATATTGGAAAATTCAAATGTTTTGTGAAGAAATCAATAGATATTAAAAAATATTTTCAGGAAAATAAAAAATTTAAACTGATAATAGTAATCATACCAAATTCTCCAGGCACAATATACAGTAAGCATATAGTATTTTTTCTATTGTATTTTAATTTTAAATAAATCAATTTAAAATTATATTTATTTTAGACGAGATAAAACAAATTGCTGAGTTGGAACTAGGTATCTTGACACAGTGTATAAAATTCAGTAATTTCAATAACGTAGTAGTCGCTGGGAAATCCGAAAGATCAATAATAAGAAACATTCTTCTAAAAATAAATACAAAACTAAATGGCATTAATCATACACTAGATCCAAGGTAAGTAATATTGGTATTTTACTATTTTACAGGGATAATACTTTTTATAATAATCTCGAAAAATATATTTTTTCTTTCAGACCAAAATGTTTTGAAAAAATTTGCATGTTTGTTGGTGCTGATGTAACTCATCCATCTTATGATGAGGATAAACCCTCTATAGCTGCAGTAAGCATAATTATAACAGCATAATTTAAACAGCACTTCATATGAATATATCAATGAAAATATTATTAATTTAGGTTACTGCAAGTAATGATATTGATGGCCTCCAATATAATGTTATACATAAAGTTCTACCATCCAAACAAGAAATAATCATGGATCTTAAAAATATAATAGATGTTCAACTGTCAATTTATAAAGATAAAACATCGCGTTTACCAGAGAGAATCATTTATTATCGGTGTGTAATTTGGTTCAATCTTGTATGTAATATTTGTGTCAAGATTCAAAATATCTTATACCATAATATTATATTTATATCTAAACCGCTAATATCAAAGGACAACCGTTTACAATTTAACATAATATAAATTGGATTAATGTACACTTTATCTCACATTTCAATTTACGGGAATTATTAAGATATAAAATATATTTTTCACGTATAGACAAATTAATTAATCATCATAGATAAGTATTAAGTGATATTTTGGATTTATTCTACTCATTAATGTAGTAATTATATTTTATTTGTAAATATTTACCCTAGTTTTGTCTTTAGCAAGATCACTGTTTGCAGTCTAATATAATATATAAAAGTCTATTAGAATTAAAATATCGCGTTTTTTATCATACATTTATAATGCTTATTTATATTTTAATATATAGAGATGGAGTTAGCGAAGGACAATTGCCACAAGTTATGCATTACGAAATAGAAGCTATTAGAGATGCATATAAAAACAAATGTAAATGTGATATTGAAATTACCTGTTTAATTGTTCAAAAAAGACATCATGTGCGTCTTTTCCCAACTTGTGACAGTCGAGGTCAGATAATTTCGGATGACAAAAACATGAATGTGAAAGCAGGCACGATTGTTGATAGTGAAATTACTCATCCAAGTCATTTCGATTTTTATCTCGTCTCACATGCGAGTATTCAGGTAAAGTTATTGGTCACAAAGATTTGTTTATATAACTATAAATATAAATTTCAATATTAGAAAGATATTAAATATACTGATAGAGGAAATAATAATAATTAATAATTAGTTCTTAATGTGAATAGAGTTGTAATCTACTTTAATTATAGTAATCTTCTTTAAGAAATATGTCTTGAGTAATTAATTTTATGCAGTAAAGATATTTATTTATTCATTAAATAAAGTTTTATAATATTATCAATACTGTATCATAAATACAGGGTACTGCTAGGCCTACCAAATACAAGTGCATATGTAACGATTCTAATTTTACCGAAAATGAGATAGAAGAATTGACATATTATCTTTGCCACATGTATGCACGCTGTACGAGAACGGTAAGCTATCCAGTGCCAACTTATTACGCTCATTTGGCAGCATATCGTGGAAAAGTTTTATTACATGGGTAAGCAATTGATCACAATAATATAAATTGATTACTATTCAGTAATTATATTATATCAGTAATTTTTGGCAACATTTTTAGTTAGGTTACAGTAATAATTTACTTTTTTTAGTTACAGTGATAATGACGATAGATTAAGGGAGATACAGGAAAGATTTAATACAAAAATGGCAAATTTACCAATGTATTTTGTGTAACAGTTAATTGATTTTACAAAGGATTATTTTATATTCAAAACTCTTTCTCTTGATATATCTACTGTAATCAGTCTTCCCTTCAACAATATCTGTATTTTTATCTATATATTTTCAACTGTTTTACTTAAGAATCTGATGTAACAAAAGGAAAAAGAGAAGATTAACATGTAACATTGTGTATATGTAATTTTGTTTGTTATACTAAAAGATACGGTAAAAAAACCATATATATTATAATATTTTTTAAATTCTTTTTGGGCATGTGATTTTATATTTCTAAGATAACAATATGCAGTATTTTACATATACTTGCAATATTTTTATATATACTTTAAATACTACATGACAAAATTATATATATTATATAATGTATATTTGTCTATTATAAATTTGTAACAAAATATAAAAAAATAATTTTAATACATGCAATTGCATTTGTCAATAAATAAATTAGATAATAACATTTATATTGTTTGCATCATATTTATATGTCAAATGAAATGTGAATTTTCACAAGTAAAGTCTAGATTTTCTAAATTTAATTCTAAAATTCTTAATCACAGTTTAAAAATTTTTCTAAAAATTGTAATTACTTAGTTTTGTATGCAGTAATAGCAAAATCATTCTTGAGAATCCATGTGTAGTGTTACATACGTTTTATATAGGATCATGCAATTAAAAAGAAATTATTCTTAAAATGTGTTTAAAAAAAGTAAATTAAAAAGAAATATGAAAAAGATTTTATATATGTGTGTATATATATATATATGTATGTATGTATACGTGTATTTATGGGATATGTTTGTGATATAGTGTGCGTGTATGTATGTATGTGTGTGTGTGTCAATGAGTCTGTTCTTTTTAACTGCACTACTACACTAGTGCAATAAAGTTAGAAAGAGACAAACATACTTTCTTTCACTCTACTAATTGCACTAGTGCAGCTAAAAATGAACAGGCCCGATGTCAACCGATATAATTAGGGTTAGGTTAGGATTAGGGACTCTGGCATTTCGACTCACCGGTTAATCTAGGCAGCTAGTAAATTGATAGTCCCATTTTATGTTATCACAGTGCCAATAATTCTTCAAAATTCTTACGAATGAAGAATGCCATGATTTGTATAAATGATGGAATAGACAATAAACTCTAGGAATAGAAACATTTCTCAGCTTGGAATTTGTAATCGTCTAACCTATAACGACGATTTTATTTGCTCGATACACGTAATCGGATTCCGTCTTCAAGAATGTTCCTGATTTAATACGCATAAATTCTGTGATTTATACTCTTGACTCTTGTCACAAGCTCTGTTTTCTATGAGGACGTAAATCATAGAAAACAATGCAACGTACGCGCGGGAAAACTTCGCGTGCCAAAGGATCGCCGCAAAAGTGCCCCAAGATAAGTTGCTCGTCGACAAACACATGGGTGTTTCTTATGAAAGGTAAATCACAAAATTATGAATGCTTTATTTTCGGCTATTAATATTTATTATTCTTCATTAGAAACCAGCAGTTTTTATGCAATTAATTAATACTCTGTTTGACAAGTCATATTTGTCAATTAGTTTCTAATATATTTATTAAAATATGCTTATTATATATATTTGTTGAAATATGCTTATATTTTTTTAGGGGATAGCCTAGACAGTTCAAATGTAGCTCAATCAGAAGCAGTAAAACTTAGACATCCCGCTTCTAATAAACCAACCGTATTTGTATTCAGTCCTGGCAATACCACAGTGCAGGAAGTTTTAATCTTTGACGAAAATAAAAGATCTTGGTTTATTGATGATAATGTCAAATCTGATGGCAAATTGCATTTGTCAACACCAATCGATCCAATCTTTTTAGTTTTACCGTATCTAAGGAAGGTAATTATTAGGATTATTAGGATTTTAATTATTAAAATTATTTAAAATTAATATCTTTATGTAGACATTGTTAAAATCTAACAATTAAGTGTTAAATAATGGATATTTTATAGTCACAATTAGCGCAACCTTTAGAGCAATGTCTCTGGGATGAAGATTTTCCAGAAACATCTCGCCTTGCACAATGTGAAAATTTGAAACTGCTGTTAGTTGCTGATTGTAAAGGAGATCAATCATTACAAGCTTACAAGTATAATGAAGAAAAATCATTAAAGTGGCTGCAGAAAAAGGTAGAAAAAGTGGCAGATTTATTAAGACACAAAGGAGTTCATGTGTCCCAAGGTGCTATGAGTGCTACTTATGTCAAGAGTACTAAATATGAAATTGGTACAGAGACAGGTAAAAAAGGAAAAAAATTATAAATTATGATTACTATATTTATGTAATTATAATAAAAAATAGAATAAACTGAATAATATTAAATATTTGAGTATGTTTTAATATTTGCTTTTATTATAATTAAAATAACTAGATCTTTTTAAATCTCAATTTTTGCAATTATTTTCTTAACATTATTTATAAGTATAATTAAGTTAATTTATTGATAACATATGTTTTTTTATAGAATATCTGAAATATGCACATGGAATTATATCCGAATATCTTGCTGAAGATCTTTCACAAAAATTAGCACAACATTTGAATATATCTGATGAAATGGAAAGTAAAAAACGCAAACTAGATAGTCCTAAAAATATAACTAATGAAAAAAAACTTAAAAGAGATTCCTTTGAAGAAAGCCCAATACCAAAAGCAAAGACGAAGAACTTATTAATTAAACCTGATAAGGTCAGTTATTTTATAATTATAATAATTTTAATAAAATATTAAATTTTATTAAAATATTAAATAAAATAATAAAATATTAAATATCAATTTGTAAGTAAAAAATTTATCAATAATTTTTCTTTACTTTAAGATTATTTATATAAGCACATGTTATTAGCACATATTATTATATATAAGCACATATTATAAGCACATATTATTTATATAAGCACATTTGTTTTTATTAACATTTGTATAACATTGCAAAGTTTAGAGGCGATTTTTTATCTGTATATGTATTTAAGTACCTGCACATTTTCTCTTATAGATACAGAAAAACATCCTTGGTAAAAAGGAATTAGCCAAACAGAGAGCAGCTGCAGGATCTAAAAGCATTTCTAGCTTTTTTCAGAAAAAATAAATCTCACAATATAAGATATATAAATTGCAACAATTTGAAAATTATAATGCATTTTTGTCGGTATATTGATAAATTTTATTGTTTTGTATAAAAATGTGTTTAACATAACATCCAAATTGAAAATTGCATTATTATTTCATTGACTGAATTATATATAGAAGAGAATAGTTTTTTCCCACAGTTTGAACAAATTTTTAAATATTAAAATTTAAATGCAATTTAAGTAAACGTTTATTTATTAACGTTTACTTAAATTGCATTTAAATTTACGTAACGTAATTTTTAATTGTGTAAAATATATGAAATATTCTGTATATAAAACTCAATAAAGAATTCTTTATTTTCTCTCTTTTTCCTACTATCTCTACGTCTATTTCATTTTTTGCGGCTTTGTGTAGATATAGGAATGTAGAAAATCGGAGAGAAATAGAAAACGAAGAATTTGAGTGTAAAGCGGCCTTTTCATTGACGCTACTTTTTAGCGTCAATGAAATTGCACCTTAACAGTTGGCAGCCCTACGAGATAGGCTGTGCAGCACTGCGCGTATATAAAATAAATTTGAAATCGCTTCTAGCCTAACCATCTTCACGCGATCGACTTTATTTGAACTGCACGACATCGCATCGAATTATGATGCGGCGCCGATTTGTTCGAACGTAATTCGGGACATCGCGATGCTGTATAAGCGTCGAATGAGCACGAATTGTCACGCAAATATGATAAATCACATCTACTCACCGTTCACCGGCTGTTCCACAGGCCGCTCCACTCGCTCACCTCGGGACGTCCCATTCCGATCTTGATGCACACGATATCATCAACGCGAACGCGCGACACTTTATTCGGCACTCCCGATATTCGCTCGCATCCGATAATCATCATCAAGGGCGCAAATAACGCGACGCGACTTCGCTCCATCTTCGCGATCGCGCTATCACTGAACTGTGAAAAATAGCTGTCGCGCACTTTCACCGACATATTATGAAAGTCGCGCGATCATCCTTGGACACTTTCGACGCTCTTTCACTCGCGATATTCGTTTAAAAACGGTTAAAAGACGCGAAAAATGCGGACGTACGACGATCCGTGTAACTGCGTATGACTCCGATTCACGTATGACGCGTATGACGTAGCAGTGACGCGTATGACGTAGCGATCACGCGCCAACATGGCGGCCGAACCAGTGCGCACTGGTTCGGCCGCCATGTTGGCGCGTGACTGCTACGTCACTGCTACGTCATACGCGTCATACGTGACTCGGAGTCATACGCAGTTACACGGATCGTCGTACGTCCGCATTTTTCGTGTCTTTTAACGTTTTTAAACGAATATCGCGAGTGAACGAGCGTCGAAAGTGTCGAAGGATGATCGCGCGACTTTTATAGTGTGTCGATGGAAAGGCGCGACAGCGATTTTTGACGATATTCAGTGATGGCGTCATCGCGAAGATGGAGCGAAGTCGCGTCGCGTTATTTGCGCCCTTGATGATGATTATCGGATGCGAGTGAATATCGAGAGTGCCGAATAAAGTGTCGCGCGTTCGCGTTGATGATATCGTGTGAGTTTGTGCGCATAAAGATCGGAATTGGACGTCCCGAGGCGAGCGAGTGGAGCGGCCTGTGGAACAGCCGGTGAACGGTGAGTAGATGTGATTTATCATATTTGCGTGACAATTCGTGCTCATTCGATGCTTATACAGCATCGTGATGTCCCGAATTACGTTCGAACAAATCGGCGCCGCATCATAATTCGATGCAATGCCGTGTAATTCAAATAAAGTCGATCGCGTGAAGATGGTTAGGCTAGAAGCGATTTCAAATTTATTTTATATACGCGCAGTGCTGCACAGCCTATCTCATCGTAGGGCTGCCAACTGTTAAGGTGCAATTTGATTGACGCTAAAAAGTAGCGTCAATGAAAAGGCCGCTTTAAGGTGGAATTTCATTGACGCTAAAAAGTAGCGTCAATGAAATTGCACCTTTACACACTGAAAAAGTTGAAACTGTTTGAACTTTATTTTATTGACGCCATATCTAGAGAAAGTCTAGTGATTTTAATTTGCCGCTGGTTTCTAGCGTCTAGCGTCAATGAAATTGCACCTTAAAAAGTGCAAGCAATAAGAACAGATCTGAATTGAAGCGATTTTATAATTCTTATATTGGTAGAATTGTTAGAATTTTATTTCTATCCCTAAATCCCTAGTGTATCGCAGTTCACAGTCTCGAGAACTGTCAAGCGTTTGAATCAGATGATCAGACATGCCAGACATGGAAGCTGACGATCGGGGGCAGAACGACGATTATTATCTGGAGCTGTCTGCTGATCCTATCAGGTTCGAATCAGTCAGCTGCCTCACGAATGTGTTTTTCGATGATTCGAAACAACAAGTTAGTTGTTTTCAGTTGATCAAAAATTTTTTTATCATTATTTCTGATAAAATGATAAAAATTTATTTGTATACAGGTATTTGCTGTTCGCTCAGGCGGTGTTACAGGAGTGCTCGTTAAGGGCCCGGACCAGAACTTAAATTTTCGAATGGAGGACAGAGGCCCGGTAATATCTATCAAGTTCTCTCCTGATATGAATGTACTCGCGATCCAACGCACTAATTCATCAGTAGAATTTGTTAATTATTCCCCTGCATCCGGCTTGGATCATGTCGAATACTCTCAACCATGCAAAGGAAAAAATGCCACAATATTGGGTTTTGTTTGGACTCATGGCACTGAGATACTTGTAGTCACAGATCATGGTGTAGAATTGTTTCATGTAAGAAATTTTTGTATTTTTTTTTTTTTATTAATTAGAGAATTATATTAGTCAAAAGATAAATGCTGCTGTTTCAGGTTAATCCAGAGAAACGGACTATTAGAGCACTAAAGTGCTTAAGTTTAGGGGTAAATTGGTTTGTATTCTGTCCCAAGAGTTATCTGGTATTATTATCATCTGGCACAGTTGGTAATCAAATACAAGCATTGCACATTACTCCTGGGAATCTTCATAAATTAACTAAGTTTGAAAGTAAGTAAGAAGCAACAAATATGTTTAAGTATCAAGCTAGACAAATATTATTTTTGTATGTGTAATGTATTTCAGTTGAACATAGTATAACAAAACCAGGAAAATTAGCTGTTTCTGAAAGAGATGTAGCATTGGCTGTATTATATGGAACACCTTGTATAATTTTGTTAAGACATCAACCAGGAGCCAACCGCTCAATGGGAACAGCATTTGTATATATTTATACTGTACATAAGTAAGACTTTCTATTATACATTGAATGTAATTATATATTTAAACATTATAATTGGTCTTCTTGTACAGGATGATGACCATTAAAAAGAGTCATATGTTAAAACTAGATGTTAGTGGCAGATTTGCTATAAATGTTGTTGATAATCTTATCATTGTTCATCATCAAGCATCAAAGGTATTATTATTATTATATTATATTACCATTAAATATAAACAAGTTTAGAATAGTAGCATTTAACTGTGTATTTTTACGTAGACATCAATGATATTTGATATTATGTTATCCGGAGTGAGTGATGGGACAGTAATGCATCATACCAGCATAGCTATGGCAAAACCAATTAAACCATTTAATCTTAAAGTACCAGGTACAACCTTATCCGATCAGATGTATCAACCATGTCAGTTATGTATCCTTTTATTTAAAAATTAATCTTATATGTAAATATAAATCTTATGAATTTAAATATAATATTTAAAATATATAGAAAATTATTATAATTTTATTGATCTAAATGTATTGAGTCTTAACACTACATAGATTCCCCTAATTGGGTTGTTTTCCAACCAAATATAATAATTGATGTAAAGCTGGGTTGTTTATGGTATGTTTGTATTTAATTACAATGCTTTTTATTTTGAATCATTTATACATATTTGATCTACTTTTTTATTAATATCAATATAGGTACATTGAACTAAGATTGGAAGCTTTGGTGAAATTAATTACAGATAAAGTACTCCTTGTAGAATTTTTAATGCAGCGGTCAAATGCTAAGCAAATATTAATACAAGTCTTGCAGGACTTTATGACACAATTACCTGTAAGCTTAATGGAAATGCCAATCATATTTGATAAACTTAATTTTGTATACAGAAATTATTTAGAAAGCGAAATACAAAATCAGGTAATGTTATGTTGAATTCTTTTTGCATATGATATGCGATTAGAACACAATATACCATCTATATTATTTTATCAATTGCAGATGGGAACACCCTTACAAAATAATGTAAAAAATACAACAGCAGTGGCTGAAAATTTTAAACATAAATTATTACTTGATCAAAGTGATATGTACAGTCACATATTATCTAAATTTTCTGAAAACACAATAGAGCCAAAGATGATAATATGGGTTTTACTTGAATATATCAGGTATGTCAGGTTTATAAAAATTATATAATACCTGATATCATAACATAAAATAAATTCAATTTATTTATTAGAATAATATATAACTTACAATTAGAATAATTTCAGTTTAATTTTTTATAATTGTATCACATAGATCATTAGCTGAACATGGAATACCGGTGCAACATTACTTGCATGAATTGATCATCACAACGCTGGTGCATCGAAAGGCTTATTATCAGCTCCATCAGTTGTTACAATACCACGTCGTCGCTGATTCAAAGCCTTTAGCTTGCTTATTACTTTCTCTGGAAAACTTATATCCGGCAGCGCATCAGTTGGCATTGGATATGTTGAAGCGATTGGGTAACGCGCATGAAGAGATAATTGAAGTGCTCTTATCTAAAGGACATATTTTGGCTGCTTTGCGGTAATTTGGAAGGCTATATTTTGAATGTGCAATGACGTTTGGACATTATTTACATGTTTCTTTCAGATATGTTCGGTCAGTTGGGATGGTGGATCAGGTATCTGCGAGAAAATTCTTAGAGGCGGCGAAAGCTACTGATGACGCAACACTTTTTCATTCAGTCTTCAAGTTTTTTGAACAACGCAATTTGAGGCTACATAATACTACGGCTTTCACAAGGGGAGAGCATTGTCAGCCATATGTTCAATATTTCAAATACTTATTCCAAGGAACGGACAATGAATGCAATTCGGACACGAATTCGAATGTTACCACTATTTCTTCATAGGATTGCAATATTAGTATTTGTATAACACACAAAAGTGATAGATAGAAATTTATCTCTTTATTTTTATCTAACGAAGTTAATGAAGTAGCTGCTTCATTATTTGTAAATTCCTATGATATTATATAATTATATATATACATATATACATATATATATATATATATATATATATACATATATATATATATATATATATATATATATATACATACACACACACATAGACACACATGGATTATTTATTGAAGAGAAAAGAATGAAAGAGAAAGAAAGATAAAATCAAGGTTTGTGAGCGACATGTGTAGTATTTATCTGTCGAAGTATTGTTTCATTTTCTTTTTTTATCCTTATAAAATCTATGTTGTAAAGTTCTTTTTATTGTAAGAATTTTACATTTCAAGATTTACAAAGCATATAAAATTTCTTTCATAATCTTTAATAAACAAAATTTTTTTAATGTAACTTAAATACATTAAATATACTTAAATACATAAATACATAAAAAAATTAATTTATTTTTTATAAAGTAATTAACTTCGTAATAAAATTCGCTTTTTTTTTTTTTTTTTTTGATATTTTGGGACAATATTATACACACACACACACAGGGGTTTCTTTAATTAATAAAAAATCATAATCATATTTTTGCGACATTAAAATGTAAACGAATTGATCGCCAATCAATGTTAAAGTACAATATTCAGTAGAATTGTGACAACAGAAGAATATGTTAATTTGTGTATATATCAAATAAGAAATACAATAAAATTTGTGTATGCTAAATATGATTTATTATGATAAGTCAAAGATTATACGGTAACAGGCGCTGGCATTTTTAATTTTAATTAAATCTAGAGAGCGATAACAGAGTAGATAAGTGAAAGTAGAAGATAGTTATTTCAATTAAGTCATAAATGCAAGTGCTTTTTATTATGATGATTAAGCCACAACTGCAATAATATTAAATAATATGAAAACGCACAGCTCTATTAAATAATTAGATTTGCGCGATTACAAAAATGTTCAAGTTGTCAAAGTAACGCGAAAGAATTGCAAATGTAGTATTTTCACATGAAAAATACTACGATATATTTGGAGATTAGTCACAGAGAATTACTTTGTTTCATCTACAATATATCTATTAATTATTTCATCTATATATCTATTAATTACGATAAGTTAAATGATTTCGAAATTATTTGTAATTATTTGATTCAGAAAATAAATAGGAATCCAATAGAACCGTTTGCGATTTTCTTTAGATCAAATAGTTTTGAAACATTAAATTTGTTTTATTTAATATTCGGAAAATCTTCTATCGTAAAAGGACTGTATTTTTCGGTTTAATAATTTCTCATTTTTCATGTCAAAAAAATTTTAATTTATGGAATTATTGAATCAATGATCAAATATGAATATATGAGAATATTATCTTCGAAGATATCTTATTTCTTGCAACAATATATGTAATAATTTTTTTAAGAAAATTTTATTTTTATTGTTAAAAAATTTTAGAAATTTAGGAATTTTAATTTTGCTTTGAGTCTTAAAGTATGCGTATTTATAACTCTGTTAATAAATATCAATTGTCTTAAGATTAATATTATGGATATTCCGGTTTGCTTGATATCGTGCGATTCTTTATAAATATAATATTATAAATATAATGGAAATTATAAACGTCTTATCTAGCTTACATGACAAAATAAAAAATTAAAATATTAATGTAACATATATTAAATATATATAAAATATTAATATAATATATGATTAAAAGCAAAGCATTTATATAATACATGATATATTGCACTTCTTATTACTGCTTACGAAAACAATGAAGATATATCGATGAATAAAGTTATAAATAAATAAATAAATAAATATATATATATATATATATATATATATATATATATATATAATGAAACGTATCTAATATATGCTCTACTTTCAATTATATATTTTTTATTATCATATTTTTTCATCTTTTCAAAAAATGAATATACTTGTTTCATTTTAATTATATATAGCATTATAAAAAATCTTTCTTTGAAATGACAGTTTCAATAATATAGAACGTAGAAAGTATGCAGCAATTGCATTAATTGCATCATAATCCATTTTATATTGCACACGTGGACACAATATTATGTTTTAATTAATATTCTCGAATGTGAAATACTTATCAATAATTGATAAATGTAAATTTCTTTGTAATGATCATTTCATTAAAAAATATTTTAATCACATAAAGTAAATTAATATACTGGATATTCTATTTTGAAAGAAAAATAATTTTTAAAAATAAAATAACTTAAAATCTTCTATGATTTTAATGACAGTTTTAAAAAAAGCATACTTTAGCGCGTAAAATTAAAATACAAATTTATCAAATTTTAATTGGCCTTACTCATTGTGCCCAGCTTCATATTATATGATCGATGCTCTGCAACTTCATTCCCTCGCCGAATATTTGTCGTGTCGCGTCACGTCAGAGATTAGTTTGTAATTGTATAACATTAAAACAATTAACATAATTGTGTTAACAGTAAAAAGCAAGAAAATTAGTGCGAGCATAAGTATGTAAATTAAATATGTACATTAAATATATGTAAATTAAATTCGTTTGCGAGATAATCAATTGAAGAAAATTATGAATCGTTCTGTGCGTTCAAGAAGACCGTAATTGCGTCTGATTCGATCACATCGTTCCGTATATAGTAAAGTTCGCAGAATTATATAATTCTCAATGTTGTAGCCCATAATAAGCTCGACGACAGTGTATGATAAAAGGTAAATTAAATTAATTTTACAAGATACTATTTTTTTCGACAACAAGAGAGAGAGAGAGAGAGAGAGAGAGAGAGAGAGAGAGAGTAAAGATGTACAGATGTAGACATATCTATAGTTTGAATTCGGATTTTATTGGTTCTCTTCTTAACGTCTTTATTACCGATCAGCTTACAGATAATCGAAATTAATGCAATATTAAAACTGTTCCAAATGTTAATGTAGCGAACGATGTAGTTTATCTTGTTACTATCATTTTTATTATATAATTGTATATTATTTGGATAATGGTAAAAGTATTTTTGATTATTTCAATTTTTATTGGGAAAAATTCTTACATATTAAAAAAAAATATGAATTTAGAATGTTAACTTAATATTTGTTTTACTTTATTTTATTACATTTCTATATTTTTAATAAAATTTATTTCTGTTTTACTGAGTGTGTAATTTTATCGCAAATTATGGCGACATGTATGATATATATCTATGAAACTTTATAAGTGTAAATTTTGCGACTTGAATATAAATTAACTGATAAGCCGATAAGCAAGACGTTAAGATATAGCCTTAAATTTTAAGCATATACTTACACACAGATATTAGAGAGAGATTCTCGAAAGTTGATTTTTCGATTTTGATTCATTAGCTTAGCCTCTTTTTTCATTTCTCTTACATGCTATATATACAGTCTGTCAAAAATGTACGCGTCTTTTTTTAATATTTATAATATATTTTATGTAAGAACAGAAACAGATTAAGATTGAGTTCGAAATAAGTAGTATTGAAAATATCTACTTAATGCATTCCAAAGGAATATTGTTTAATCGCATTAACATTGTAATTTTAATAAATTAATTTTTTATACACTTTTTTGCAGCAATTGTCACATTCCGTTATTATGAATGAAAAATCATTTTGCTAAACATCCATATATTAGACTGAATTTCTAAAATTCTTATTTATTATTTTATTCTATTATTATTAACATCATCACTTAAAATTTGTATTAATGTGTTTCTGTTGGTCATTACATATTGTGCAGAGTGTTAATATTAAATATAAATAAATAGCGCATTAATATTTAATATAATATAAAATATAATGCATGTAAAATATATGAATTATTCTCGGATAAAAGTATTAGACAAACTTTTAAACTGTGCGTACAATTTTTAAAGGTTAATTATTTCAGAAGTAGTATAGAGAGAATTCTAATATAATCTATAATATATAGATATCGCGCCGATTACCGATAACGTATACAATATTATCTAAGAATACATATCTAACTACATTGAGGGGTTACGGCATTAATTATTTACAGGGAGATCATTACCCGGCCATTCCGCTTGTTTGCGCGCAAGATTAAGCTTAAAGAAATTAGGAAGAAGACGCTTATATATATGTATATACAACATCTCTCTCGGAGACTTTGAGAAGAGTGGACTTCTATGCGACGATATGCAGATTAAAAGTGAGTACTCGTATACATAAGAGATATATCGTTGCAAAAATCCCGATTATTAACAAATTGAACATAATAATTATAAATGTATATGCCTTTTTTTTTAATATGTATATTTTATCTATTCTAATTAGAAGATATTCGGGACAAATTCCAGAAAATAATTCATTATTATTTATATTAATTGCTAAACATCATTGTCTTATTTTCTTGCAAAAAATTATTTTGTTACGATTTTCTAAAATCAAATTTTGTTGATCAATCTCTTATGTAATCTCTTATGCAGAGTTCTAAAGACGATTTTTGGTCCATTATATATATTTTAGACACAGATTGAATTAATTTGATCGTCACTTAGAATATGTGTTTTGCATGTAAAGTTATGGAAAGGAGCTTAAATAAGAGATATAAGAATAAAAAGTTCAATGGGTCTACTTCAAGAAATCCGTTGAGATCGCGCAAAGTTTTATAGACATAGAAGAGAATTTGTTGCAATCGTAACAAAACCCGCGTTTGTATATCGTCGGCGATCGTGCAAAATCTCCTAGATGTAACTTTGTAACCAAAGCTGTCTTTAAACTCTAGAAATCTATTTAAATCTTATATTTAATTTCAATGTAGAAATATATTTATCTCTCCTGTATTTTTCCTGTTATATGTTATTTTATTTTATTTTATTTCTAAGAGAGAGAAAGAATAAATAGTTTCTTATATTTTTTTTCTAAATATAATAATATATATATATTTTTAAATTTACTGAATTTCCACGTGTATATATATATATATATATATATATATATATATAAATGTTTTTAATATTTAAGAACGTTAAGAATGTGTTATGTATATTCATAATGAAATTTTTAATAATATTTTGGGTATAATATTTAATAATATTTTGAGAAATTAATTATTAGTGGACTTTTCTTATTTAGATGTTGCACGTTTATCGACGATAAACATTACACGAATATTTATACAAAGAGGACAAAACTGATAGAAGTAGTATAATGCTTTCTTGCATTAAAATGTCAAAATACAAAATTTCACATATACATTCGCGCGGAACATTCGCAAGATACTCGCTAAGCATATTTTCATGACCTTTTTTCAACAATGAACTTACCGCAGAACATCTCGCGATTTCAGTTCACTTCGCTGAACGTACCTTTCACCTTTATAATTTCCTCTTGGTCGCGCGAAAAATATCTTAATAGGACGGTTATTAATATTCGTAATCTAGTCGCGTTACTTAACAGAGCGGCGATTGATCCTTATTTTAGCTTGTATCTTTATTAATCATTGTCTTAATTAATAATCTCTATTAAAATCCAAAAAATTTGCTTTTTGCTCATATCTTTTAAATAGTTAAACTTTCAAGCGTGAATTATTCCAATAATATTAAAAGTATTGTCGACAAAATTAAAATAATAAACAGCTGGATAATTGATACATGTAAAAATGAAAGACAATGAAAGACTATTACATATAAATTACTATTATAATCATTTTGCAAAAATCTTATTATAATAGCAATATTCATTGTTTTTATATTTATGCTAACAATGAGCAAAATTATACAAAATTATTGCTCATTCTTTTAATTATTTGACTTACAATTTTGTAAAAATTATGTTTATTCTTGATGGACTGTGAAATATTGCCTCAAGTATTTCATACTTGAAAGTTTAATCTCTGCAATTATTATTACAAAAGACAGTATAATATGATATTCGCATACATAAATTCTCTTTGCCAATATTAGCTTCTCTTTAATTTATTTTACAACATATATTAATTCATAAATCAATTCATATTTTATCGCAAAAAGCTTGATATTTTCATTCGAAATATTAGTTTTGCTTAAATACTGAGCTTTTTATCGAAATATTATAATCTTTATCTAAATACAATAATCTTTATATATTACATTCTCGCAACTTAATTCACGAAAAACTCAAGCATCTCTCTACTTTTATGATGCAAAAAATCAAATGCATTGAAACAATTTTGTAATTGTTAGATTATATTCCGAAAAATACATTTCTTGCGTACAATCGCGAATTAATGAAATTATAATGGCTATACATCATAATTCTCAAATATATGCAAATATTTCGTGCGAAATGTTAAATATCACGCAAAATATTTTCATATCTTACTATCTAAATTTTATGACTATTTGCTTAATTATGTAATATACATTTTTTTAAATGTCTATATGTCAATTATGACATATATTTAAGATATTTCGTGTACATTTGAGTACTTCGTAACTCTCTGTTTCAGATTGTAATATTTCTTTCAATCCCTTTTGTGCATCGGTTCAGTTACGATGGCATATGAGGCTCTTCCTTGTTCTATGTTATATAATTTAGATAGATCTTTTCTTATTTCATATAATTACATATACAAAATATTTTCTATAATATTTATTGCACTATCTATTTTGATTTATTTTGAGGTAAAATGGGTTCTTAATTTTACAAAAGATAAAATCTCGTATATTGCAAATAATTTTATGTTGATATACAATATCTTTTGGATTTTATCAATTAAGTAATTAGTTTGGGAATATTATTATAACAATATTTTTTATTTTACAAGCAAAATTTTGGATAATTAGTATATTGTTAATTTAATATTTTTCATAGTTATTGTCTTTTTTAGTAAATATGTCAAAATTACAGTTTTAATAGAAATCATAATATTAATGATAAAAATATATATATAGGTTATTGTAATATTATTTTAATTCTAAATAATAAGAGAAAATTTGATAAAAAATTAGAACGTATAAAATGTCTAATAATAAATAAAATAGTTTAATAATTTAGAGCGTAATAATACATAATGTTATAATAAAACAACAATATAACAGCAATTGTAATAAAATTAAATGTTATAAAATAATTCGAAGAAATCGAAGTATGAATGAGATTCGTTAAGAGAGAAAAAAAAAAAAGAAATATATATATATATATATATATATATATATATGTATGTATGTATAGAACAAGGAAGAGAATCGTTTCTATCGATTCTTCTCTAACTACATTATAGTCAGCACCCTATCTAGATCCGGATATCTAAAATAATGTGCTTCGATATATTTCCCGTAGGTACGTGTCATTGGAATTTCTAATGGTTCCTCTAAATATTTATGAATATAATTCTTTTATATATATATATATATATATATATATATATATGTATATATATGCACATATATATTCATATCGTGTATAGTATACTTTCGGGATATTAACACGATATTTCCAACAATTGCCATTTACGTTATTATGCACGCGATATAGAGAATAAAAATTAATCAGGATCTTTGAAATCGTTAGAACAATGTTTTCAATCTGTTTTAAAATAAAAATTCGATAAAAAAATTTACAGTATTAAATGTATTACATAGAGGGAGAATGTCTCAGAATTGTCACTTTTTATTTTTTGTCTAAATATAAAAATTTATTTAGATAAATTAATCATTTTTTAATTCTATCATACACATAAATGTTATTTTAATAAAACCTTAAAATTGAATATTTGTTATTAAGATATGTAATATTACAATTTATTGAAAAATTTAACAAAATATTTATCAAACATGATTAAAAAACTCTAACGAAGTTTTTGTTAAACAGACTTGATTATAACATTGTTACATATATGATAATTGAGAAATTAGATCGTTAAACTTCAAGAAATTCTTCTTATGACAAAAATATGTAATATAAATCATAAAGATTGCAGTAATTGGTTATTATCATAAATATTAGAAGAAAAAAAATCACATAATTGATAACTTATAAAATATAATTAAAGAGGTAGCAGAAAAAAAGATATTTTATGCTTTGACGATTATGTAATGATTTTGTAATTTATAATCGATTTTCTTTTTACACATCGGCGTTATTCATATATTTGAAATTTTATGATGATACAAAATTGATATTTAGACAACAATTACGAATGTGCATTGCGATGAGATAAAAGAGTTTAAAAGTGCATTTCTGAATTTTTTAAATGATCATATATGTTTAAACGTAGCGCGTGTTATAAAATTTTTGTATGCCTAATTGACATTTAAATTGATTTTAATTTTTTTTCAGATATTACTAAATATTTATGTTGATAATTATTTTAGATAACAATCAACATTTTGCAAATTATTTATTGTAACTTCAAACAAAATATCGAAAATATTAAAAATATTTCATTTTCTTATTCTGAACAATGGCTATATTTCCAAAAAGTTATATTTTTTAAATTATCTCTTTACTTTTGTCTCATTAGTATAAACTCGTCATATACTCAAAATTTTCAACAAATTTTTTTTATCTTTTCGTGTGATTTTGTGACTTTGCTACTTTCATAATATTTTTTAATATTATAATACTTTTGTTATATGTTTTTATTTCGTTTTTTTTATTTTTTTCTCTTATAATTTTACATCACTCTGGGTGTATGAGTCCTTTGAACGAATCTCGCATTTGAGCGCAATCTTGCATTTTCCAAAGATTACACAATGCTTTTAAATTTTTATGTAAATAATTAGTGCACATTCAGTAAAATCTTTTAAAATTTTTAGGAAATATTTAAATTGGAAAAAGAAAATGATATGTCTGTTTTTTACATGTTGTGTATATGTGAATATGAACATTAAACATGTATCTTATATTAAACAAATTTTCTCATGTGCAATAATTTTATATATATATTGGCCTTTTTTATATCATATATTTTGGAATGCTCTGAGAACACTGTAAAAATAATCGTGAGAAAATGTTGCTTAATTGTTAAAATTGCTCCTTTTATCACACAAAAATATGAATGTTTCAAATATATTATTTAATCTTTTATAATTTGAATAATCAAGAGTATTTACATATCAAGAAATATAAGAGTTTATTCGTTGAAAAAAATTATATATTCCATTAAACGTTAATTTCACGTTCATATTATTAATATATATACAAGATGTTCCAAAAAAAGTGTATATCGATTACAGATTTTTTTTTTTACATAATTACATTTTTCTTCAACGAGATTTAATGCTTTATATAATTATAATACATTTAAAATTAAAATTTATAATATTATCTAAGTAAAAAATTTATATTGTATATTTAATATTTGAGCATTTAATATTTTTTACTAAAGAATAAAGCCAATCTGAAGCTCAGGATTTAATAATAATACTTCCGTCATCGATATACACATTTTCTGATACATACTCTACGAAGTTGACGGTTATATCTTCTCGAGCTTCTCAAGCTACATTTTCTATAGCTATAATCACTTTATCAGCTTATCGCATTTACTTCTCTTTTGCTTTCGAAGTCTCGTGAATCAACGTGGAATAAGCAAGTGTAAGTAAATGTTGATCCGCGTCGTCTAGCAGCCGTGAAAAGATTTTGCTTGCCGTAAGTCGCTCTCTTATAAATATCGCAAGCGCAATCTCGAGTCTTACTTTAATGCACTTACGTTTACTTGACCAGCCGTGAAAACGCCGTGTTTCCCATCGTAATAATCGAGATCCGATCCGATTTTCTAGTCCACGAGACTCACTTCCTCATCGATTAGAAATGATCGGATTTTAAGAGATATTACAATCGTCAGCGTGAGCATCCCTGATTTGTTGTTTCGTTTTTCTCGAGGCACGCCTAATCAGGCTGCGACTACGCGGCTTGCTCTTCACTTCCTCGGTGACAGCGACGACGCTGGAACCCTGAGCTGCGACTACTTGCTGAGGATTTCCACCGGGACCCGCGCTGCCAGTCCTGCCGCCAGGACTGCCGGACCTACCATCGCGATAAAATAATAACAAGTATAAATTAGATACGAAATTACTGCTGTTGCTTTGATTAACGTTAAAGCAACTCTCCCGGCACTTTCTCCTAACTTCCAGTTATATCTTTGCCGCATTTAGGCTCTTAATTTATGGATGAAGGATCGATGAGACTCTGATAATAAGAATTTATATTATCCGGGAGAAGAGAGAAAATTGCCTCAAGAAGTAAACTTTTCTAAAAAGAAATTCTTAACATTTAGAATAAAATGAAAAAATAATAGATATTATTTAAAACTTATAAAAAACTAGGTTTTTAACATCCTTCATATTATATTGATATGATATAATTTACAAAATTTATATGTAAATTTTGTAAATTAAATTACAATATGGAACAAAAAGTAAAAATTTTAGCTCTCTATTAAAGTACTGAGAAATATAATATAAAATTTAAATCAAGGCACATTCTCTTTTCTAGGCACAAAAGAAAATATTGGACATTTAATAAAATTAATATTTTGTAGCAATTTTTTTGTTTTTCCATGAGAATCTTTTACGGAAATATAGATATTTCGCGCATGTATATGAACAGCTGTATAAGAAAGTAGCACAATATACAGCGATAAATATAAAAAGACTTAAACGATATACAAGTGCAAGCTATCGAATATCAATAATAATATATGAGAAATAACAAGAGATTGCGAATGTTTTCCAATCGTGCAACGTAATCTGTTGACAATCCGGAATAAATATCTAAATCACAAGCGATATTGAACGAATTATATCATTATGTTTACATTCGATACACTGCAATAATGACGATGTGCAACAGAGAAATGTGCATATTGAAAATCTTTTAGATTATTAATATCAGTTTTATTAATATGAATTCGTTCTTATCGATAAAATGATCGTAAATCCATGTAACGAATCGTGATTAAAATGGCAAGTTTGCGAATGAGACACATTAAAGATCGCGTTGATTGAAATTTCCAATCTCCTTATATATGCCATCATTTGAAAAGAAACTGCAATATTATTTAGTATTCATGTGCATAGTTTAATGAATTCTTTTCTGGATCTTAACGATATATCGGGCATCAAGTGTGTGACTTCTCGAAACTATTCACGAAACATATTTTACTTGTGTATCAATTGCACGTATGTATATTCATCTTATTAGTTTTAGCGATTAAACGTATTATGCAAATTACGCTATAAAATTATTTATATTATTTATGATTCTTTATGTATCATAGTTTCTTTTGACAGTAACTATAATTATCAAGAAAATAGCTGATAATTAAAATTAATAGCTCTGTTTTATACATAAAACACACACCTGATAATAGTTATCATAATAATTGTACTTTTTGTTCTTTATCACTTTTCTTATGTTATCATCTTCAATAATTTGAGAAAGAAAAAAATTTAATAATCCATATTTATTATGAAACGATATTGACAGGTTGCTAAATTTCTATCGTACTTATCGTATATTTAATTCAAAACGTGTTCCTTGCAATTCTCAATTCTCATTGAATTTTACGTTGGATGTAATTTTCATCTTAAGCCTGCTTGCATCAACAATCTGGGTTAAGTAAGCTCGACTTATTGTTAGAGATTCGCTGTCTTTCAAGATTACAGTTCTATCTGTGATGGGTACGACGCGGAAAATTTACTTAATCATCACAATTAATGCTAAGTGATGCGTAATCGACTTTTAAACGTTAGGAAACAAATATTCAATTTTATTTTAGTTTTTTTAAAATACATACACACAAAATATCGTGATAGACATGTAAGATTCATTTGAAGAATAAATTTAAACTATTTTAGTTTTTTTCTTAAGAGAAACAAAGTGGATTTCAAGAAATTTTCTTTTCTTAATCTTCAATATTAAGTATCTCGAGATAAGAACTAAGCCTTAAATTAGAAATTTGCTGGAATTAAGTCTAAGAGATTAAAGGCAGAATGAAAGATTTTGTTATCTATTCTTAAAATCTAATTTGCTAGTAATTATTTTTGTACAGTTGCTTTATATAACTGCTTTCTTTTTTTCGTTAGAAATAAAATTAGTTCTGAATTGTTCAACAAGTTTTTTTCTTGAAACAGAGCTCATGTATTCAACACATATTAATTATGTATATAAAAATAAAAATTAAACATTAAGAGACAATAATGTTAGTGCGATACCTGCGAGATCCATATGCTGAACATCTCCTCCTGAGTCCCGACTCGTCGGCCTCGCCGGTAGGATTTTTCGGTACAATTCTGGAAAGCGTGACGAAACACCTGAATATATCCTTAATGTTGTAATCATCCTTCGCCGAGCATTCCATCACTTTAGCGCGTAACTTAGGCAATTCGCAAAACAGCCACTCGCTTACATCCTCGATGGGTACTTCCCTTCGTGCCGGCGCCAAGTCGAGCTTATTTCCGGCGACGACTATCGGTACTTCCTGTCAAAAGACAGCTACGTCTTATAGTCTTATTTACGAGGAAGGTAATCTTTTTTCTCGTCGAGTGTAATTTAAAGAAAATTTGTAAAAGAGCAAAATGCAAAATCTTGCCTGGATCGCAAATATACCGTTGAATATGTGGTACGAGATTATGAATCGCGTGCAAATGAATTCGCTTAGTAATACCACACCTGGAAATCGGGTCGTTGTTCTCTCACTTCCTCAAAGCAACGTTTCACGCATTCGAAGCTCGGTAATGACGTTGTCGCGTACACCAGCAAGAATGCGTGGGCGGTGGCTATGCTCAATCGCCTCATCGCAGGAAACTGCAAGTCACCTGTAGTTATAAAAATAAGAGATTAAACGATCTATTGATGAGATCAAAAGATTTTTCCCATTTAACATACAGAATATAGGTTTCTAAAAAAATTGCCATATAAAATATCCCTTATTCATAACTTGATTTCTGATTTTTTGTCGAATGAACGTATTGAAATTGATAGTTATTTATGTCACATTTTCCCACGTCATCGGAAATCTGTCGTCATGTTGAATTTTCGCTATGTAATAACTCAGTCTATATTCGATGCATATGCATGACGCATTTATCTCTCAGCTTTTTCCGATACTCGTTGCTCTCTCGCTAAAAAGTCACCAGAGAAATACAACCCTGATTGGATCAGAAATATTTTCATATACATATACAAATATATATATACGTATGCTACGCGCTACTGACAATGAATTACACTTATTTTATACGTGATTCTAACGAGATTAAAGTCTTCGTTTTCAATCAAAACATGTGTGTTTATCATTGAGAATATGTTACATGTATCATATAGCCCGCAATCTTTTTTATCATATAATATCATACAATCAATTATAAGAAAAATATTTCAGGAAATTATAGCCTTTAGAAAAATATAGAAATAATTCATCTTCCTCTCTCTTTTCCTGTCTTTTGTAAACTTATTATATTTTTCTGTTGAAGCTTTCAAGTAAGTCCGCAAAAACTGGTTTAAGTAAAATCAATAATAAATTAATTAAAGTAATTAAAATTAATAAATCATATAAAAATATAACCATTTAAGTAAAAATCATATATATTTTAAAAATTATATTTTAATTATAATTTCTATATATAATATTTGAAATATAATAAAATATTATTTAAATATATTGAATCATTGCATGCGTAAAATATGTAAAAAGATAATATGTTTTGAAAATCTCAATTTTATTTTACTTTCATATAAGTAAATATCTTTTAATAATCAATTATATTATCATATATCAAATTAAAAGAGAGTACGTTCAAAACATCACATTAAAATGAGAAATATGTTTAACTTCTGCGAAATATCTCTATGAATTATAACTGAAAATATCTTTTTTAATTTAATTATTTTTGTTATTTTAAATTTTTTATAAGTTAAAAAAATTGCTTTTTTTCATTTTGAAATGTCGAAAAGTTAATATTTTTTTTAACAATATACTGTACAATATTTTTTTTCTCGGAAATTATTTGAAAATCGTTAAAACTAACATTTCAAGTGCAATAATTCATGTGTAACAATTCATTGAAATAAGGACAGATGAATAACGGCGGAAGATGACTTGTCTTACCCGCGGTATCCAAGAGATCGACTTTGAGGGTCAGGGTGCCGAGCACGCATTCCCGTGAATACAGATCCTCCACAGTGGCTCGGTATCGTTCGCTGAAACCCTGGCCGAGCAATCGACGTATAATGGCGCTCTTGCCGACCCCGGCGCCGCCGAGCACCACTAGCCTGATTCTCTCGAGATCGGCCATGTTCTCCGTTTGATCGAACCAGTGGTGATCTCGAGCACGATCGCGAGAATGCTGCAGCTTCAGGAAGGCATCACACTCAAAGGAAGATCGATCAAAGTATTCTCCTCCTTGCAATCCAATATAGTTATCTCACCCGTCCCGCCACCCGATATTCTTCCTTCGTCCGAAGGATATTAATTTGATTCCCCGCAGTAGGAGTTTCTGATCTAGACCCCGCGGTCAGGAACGAGTCGATGGCGATAGGGGCTCCTGATCGGGATCGATCAATCGCGATCAATCGCTCCGAAACAATCGCGTTTTTTTGCTCGACGACGTCGCCCGTCGTCGACTTCTCCATTCACTTACCCCGTTTACGCTGCGATCTCGAGGGATTTTGCATTCTTCCTCGGGGAAATTGTGACTGTCCGCCCAGTCCGCGACTCGAATTAAAATTTCTGCTGAAAAATAAAAAGAATCGTCCAGTTATTATTTATTTGTATGCGCCAAGATTTTATTGGCAAAATTGAATCACGAGGAAGGAAAACTCGGTATAACGCCATTTGGGACTACCAAACGGATCGGAAATTGGAGTAAACATTGTTACTATCGGGACACCTCGGGCTAATTGAAATATTCCGTCCGCAATAACAAGTTTTATTAAAGTTATAACTTTCATGTGTTTGAGACATGAGACATGAGATATATCAGTCATATATATATATATATATATATATATATATATATATATATATAATTACATATATTCAAAAATTGAAAATTTTCAAATATTCAAATATTCAATTGTTAATAAAATTGTAATCGATTTCTCTATAGAAATAGATATGAATAAAATGATATTTCGCATATTTTCGTGCAACATAAAACTTCCCACGGAAATTAACGTGGTTCAGGAATATCACGAAATTCTATTCATTTAGACGGAAATGTATAAACGTGTACAGCCATGGTACGCTATTTTTTACATTTCTTTTATGGCAAATGCACATGAAAAATGAATACGTGACGTTCTATGAAATACATTGTGGTAATGAAAAGAATCTCGCCTCCGGCATGTGTCATATATATATAAAATTCAATCTCAAGAATATTTTTCTACGCAGTTATCGATCAATTTTTGTCGCTTAATTTTAATCTTTTATTATCGCACTATCTTTGCTTATTATTTTAATAAGTCTTCTTTTATAAGCCCTCTTCTTAACTTTTTAATATAGGACATAATTGTTAATTGTTAATTATAATTAATTTTAATTATAATTGATCACAGCGACATGATATACATTTACTAAGAAAGATATTTCTCTATAGCATTCATGATTATTGATGAAATTCCTTTCTGTTAATGAAACCACTGTACCGTTAAATATTTGAACATATAACTGTGGAGATGAAAAGTATTGATAAATGATGTTGATTCTCATTTATGCGAAACACACATATTTATATAAATAAATAATATATACATTTTTTGCACATATATAATGATATTGTCTCAGTACTTATCATTATCAGTGAGCTTTCTAGAACTAAATACTTATTTAAAAGTTTTAGTTAATTAAATTATTTAAATATATAATTTTTATACTTGAATGTATTGGTGGACAAAATTAAATTGCCCCAATTATTATCAAAGATTTCCGTGACTAATGCAAATCATATATGCTTAATTCTCAAAAGAAAATTCCCCGAATACAGATTAATTATATTTGAAAATTCATTTCCATAACTAAATAAATAACGACATTGTTTTAACGATTATATTGTTATCGTGCAAATCCTTTCAATTAATTCGATCTACACGTACATCTTCTTTCAATGAAAATTTATGTGGATATGGGTTAATAGAGCTTTAATCCTATCATGCGCGATCCGGGGCGGATATTAGTGACGCGTAATGTAATGAAATTTGCCAGCCGATGCGATATATTTACAATCACGCGAGAAAAGAAAACGGCGCAATGCGATGTGACATAATTCATTTTGCATTCTGCATCGCGGAAGGATTAAAGGAAGAGAAAGGAAAAGGCAACACACATATCTCGCTCTTTTTTCTGCGTGATTTATCTTGGTTGATTATCCGTTTCTTTTCGCTATCTTTTTTCTCTCTCTGTCTTTCTCTTTCTCTCTTGCATAATTTTCCAGCAAAAGTCACAGGTGGCTGTGCGACCTTCTTTTTCTCCTCTTCGATCGTTCTCGCGGAAATCTCCATGGGATTAAAACGTCGCTAAACACGCCGGTGCCGACGACAGCTCCGGCTCTGTTTTATGAAATAAGGCCTTAATCATCAAGCTCGTTAAGCGCCGCGGAAATTCAGCGCGCAAATTGCGGCCTGAAAGCTTTTTACGCGAAAAAATTCGTAAAGAGCGTGTCAGACTTGTAAACGCGCGAATGACGCACGTCTAACTCTTCATCCCCATTTAAATGAATTTAATAGCTGTACGTATCTTTACATTATAGTTTCTCTCGCATTTCTCCCTTCTATCTATTCATTATAGTTTCTTCTCGCATTTCTCCCTTTCATCAAAACGTTTTCGGTTGTTCTGTTAGCGTCGTATATTGATGTTTCTGACGATTTCAACAAGTTAAAAGTAAAAAAAGAATCAAAATAATACACTGAGTTGTGTTCGCAAATATTCGAGCTAATTATGAAAAGATGATTGTAAAAAATGTGTAGAAGATTAAAAAGAACTTAGATTCTTTTAGATACAAAAAAGATGTTTAGTCGAGTTTATAATATAACTGAAACACAGCAAAGAATGGTGCACTTTAAAAATTAAAGAAAGACTCAGGTAAACGATACCATTATGTTGTAATATGCTTTGCGTAATCAGCAAATTTTGCGTCTTTCTCTCATGAATATTTTCCGTCTTGGTCGATCGTTTGAATTTTAATACTGTACAGAGAAGTAAAGAACAAGACTGAAATTAAAGCAATCGGAATTTTTATGTATTGCATAATTATATTACACGAATAAAATAACTTTGTTCCTTCTTTTTCAAATTGATTAAAATCAAGCAACAAGATGGATTAATATATATTGCGCGGAAATCTATCTTAATCGCTGAAATGAGAATCTACAACACTCCCCGAGCTATTAAGATAATTATTCCCATCATTAGTGTTTCTCGGTATTCTGCTGCATTCGTATATGCATTATTATCTATTAAATTCCATTTGCATGGCGCGTATTTCATGTATATTAATGACTTAACATGAATAACTTTTCCATAAATTTTTATAATTATCTCGACATTATGATCGACATAAAGTTATAGCATTGAATAATTGCGAATAAACATAAGTTTTGGAATTTTTCCCAAATTTATAATAAATACTCAAATTTAAAATTTAATTTAATTAAATAAAAAAATTATTTTGTATTATTTATCCATTTAGCTAAAAAATTGATCCTTGAGTTATTACTTTGTACGTTATAAGAAAGTTTTGTTTGTATTTTGGACGATTGCTGTGGAAATAGTGACATCTTTTATGTGATACTCAAGAAATGAATACTAGAGATAGAAATGGAAGAAAAGTCGACTAGAGGATTTCTCGATCACTCGTAACGCGGATTTGTTCAAATATTGAACTGAACACGAAAATGAAACGAGAGCAAATTCTTTCACAATTCGTTTCCGCAGATTTTTTAAAAATCTCGATTTTGTTTCACAGGACCGTTATAGAAAAGCTTTATTTTTGCAATTTCCTTCTAGATAGATAAAATTATGTATGTCATGTACTGATCCTTTTACTTGTGAATAGTCGTGTATTTATTCAAAAGAAAACACAATAATAAATTTCACTAATGATCTTATAATATTATACAACAACCTATATATGTTGAAAATCTCATTATTAGATCCTTTCCGACCTTTAACCGATTTCTGTTAGCATCAGCACAACGATTTACATAATAATGCCCGAAAATTCCTGCACGGCTTTCCCGGACACGATCGACAAAATTGAAGTCGTTAATTTGCCTCTTGCGCACAAACAGACAACGAACGATCCATTGCCTAATCGCGTCACGTTCTTCGATACTACTAATGCCTTTCCTCCTCTTCTCATGACAAATGATATTCCTTTAGTGCTAAAGTGTAATGTATTGCAATATCTGAAAATATGAAGAAAATTTGAGGGAACATAGGGACGTAAGTTAACATGAATAAACAATATAGAGAGCTTATGAGTTTCCTTATGTCTTGCTTACATTTTTTCTGATGTAGGACAAAAATAAAAAATAAAATGAAAATGTATCTTATATAAAAAATGTTATATTTAGATCTTCAAAGAACTTCAATATTAATTTAATGGTTACCAATCGCAAAAAATCAATAAAAATCAATAAATTAAAAATCCCCTCTCTCTCTCCTTTAAAAATATTATTTTAAAAATATTAATAAAGTTATAATTTTGTTAGTCTAATTATTTCTTGAATATTACGACAAATATAAACGTACAATTATTTTATGATATAAGTATATTTTTTTTAGATAGAAGCGTAAACTTTTTATATGTATACAGCTATTTGATTGTCTCTAAAAATAATATGTTTATTATTTATGTGTACAATTATTATTATTATTATTAGTGTTATTATAAATAGATATAATGCTATTATAATCATATATAATAACAATTATAATTAATAATAAATATTTATAATTAAAAAAATTTTAATATTAATAAAAATAGAAGAAGAAATTTATCAATGGACTTGATATAAAAATTCTAGCGACGTCACTACTCCAAATTTTGGATCAAATAAATCCCATTGTATTTCTTGTATTTCTCGAAGATATTAATCTCGTTATGAACTTTCTATAATTCTATCCGACTTTAGTAAGATGTACTTGGATCAGATTCAAGTATATCTAATAATTCAAATATTTGATTAGCTTTAATCTTTTTATTAGACACAGAAAAATATAATGTTCTTAATTTTATTTCCAAACAAAATTTAATAAATCAGGAAGAATCAAATTATTCGAAATATATGTATTATCTTTATATTAAATGTGTGTTTTTTTATTTAAAGTAAACTTTATTTTTAAAAATTAAATTTAATAAAAACTTTACTTTAATTTTATTTATTAGCTCTTCTGTTTTAATTAATTCGATATACATTTCATTTTCATTTGTCATTTCACAATATTTCAATTTTATATTTATTTATGATGATCCATTATGTGATATTTTGATGGATCTGAAACGAATGAAATGATAAATGATGTAGCAAATGTCGCTTTGAAGTGAAATTAATTAATCTTAATAGGTTCTCACCTTTCTCTCTCGAGAGGTCACATTACAGCGTCATTGTTAAACAGTAATTTGATTTATTTTAAAATAAAGTCGATTATAAGATACATTTGTTTCGACACAATAAAGCGCGTTATATGATAAAATATTATCAGCTCTCAATTTTATAAGTGTTCAATGC